GGGATTTGTCATGAATGAGTGCAGCCTTTGCTATCGGTCCTTGCAGCCGCAGACCCCAAACTGGATTCTACACTGCCAGCAGCAATGATCGGCCACACTGTTACGAGTACAGTCAGCAACTATTTCACAAACTTGCAACTTGGACTTTGTGTTCTGTTGAGTCGACAGAGGAAATTTATAGACGAGCTTCACACGTATGGAGTCACCACCTCATGCGACGAACTAAGGCGCTTTCGGTGTTCAGCTACTGTTGCTATGGCATCTGTTCCAAGAGGACTGGCCTACTTTGACAGTAAACATGGACTTGTTCAAGTTGTAGCTGACAACTTTGACACGCAGATATCATCTCCAAAAGGCCAGAAATCAACGCACGGCTCAGCAAAGATACTGGCACAAGCCAACACGCAGAAGTCAGAGCAGGTGTGGGAAATGCAAGATATTCCAGCCATCAGGCGTCTCAGCAAAACAGAAACCAAGTCCGATAATCTGACACTTGGTGACGTTGCAGTTCAACGGATACAGGAAACACAAAACCACTTATGCCGGAAGAACTGAGCCTGCGACGTGTCTCATCTCTGGTCTTTCTTGCCACACGACAGGCTTCTCTGAACAGAACTGCAACTCAAGATCTGCCATTTTTTAAACAGGCACTCGGCGAAGATGCAAGACCTGAGTATGGAGGTTATAACACACAACGTACCCGCAGTGCAGAACAACAACCCCAACCAAAGACAGATGTGATGTACAGCCCATTCCTAGACATTATCCCATCTGAGCGAGACACCGCGAAGACAGCAATGGTTGAAGCCAATGGTCTGACACAGCTCACTGGTCATAGATGGACAATATTCACCAGTGACTACCAGCTGTGCAAAGAACTTGTCCACATCATATGGGTTGACGAGGAACAGTTTCAGAAGTTCATCCCAAGACTTGGTGGTATGCACATGCTGAGGAGTTTTGTTAGTGCTGTGGGATACCTGATGGGAGGAAGTGGCATTGAAGACATACTTGGCTCTGCATTTGTGGGGGTGCCAAAAATGTTGACCCGGAAAAAATACCCACAAAATGTAAAAGCATTGAGACTTCTTGTTGAGTAGTTACTGCGACCCATTCTCCCCAAAACTAACGTGCACACCATGGCTGCACTCACGCAATGTCTCGTCACCAAAAGCACCCAGAGCAAAACCACAAAACTTTGGGTTGAGTGCTCCTTGACCCAGTGTTCATTGTGATGGCCTTTGTTCGGGCTGAGAGAGAAGCTGACTGGACTCTTCACTTGTTTGCTGTGGAAAAGATGTTCCCCTACATCTTTGAGCCTGGAACGTCAACTATGCTCGCTACTGTCTTTACTATCTCCGATCCATGCAGCGCCTGCATCCACACGTTTTTGATGAAATACTTTAAAGTAATATTGTAGTCTATATATATATATATATATATATATATATATATATATATATATATATATATATATATATATATATATATATATGTGTGTGTGTGTGTGTGTGTGTGTGTGTGTGTGTGTGTGTGTGTGTGTGTGTGTGTGTGTGTGTGTGTGTGTGTGTGTGTGTCGCCCTCTGCCACGAGGAAGAACTTATCCATGCGAGGTCGTGATTTTAATGCGACGATTTCAAGTGTATTGCAGATCAGCACATTTATGAAAACTATATGGCGGCCATCTTGTTTTCTTTGAAGTTGCCATTTTATCGAATATTTGAAGTGTATTTCATCAAGAGTGGTTACTTTTGTCACACTGAATGCTATTTAATTAAGTTTGTACATTTTTATGTCTTTAAATGCATGATATCCCTCACAACATCTTTTACTCGAAATTCTTTGGCGGCCATCTTGGATTTTCACTTTTAAACAAAAATGCCCAAAGTATAGCATTTGGCCCCCATTAGATTTGAAATCAGCAATGAAAACTCTGTTAGAATCACCAAAGAAAAAAACTTTATGACGCAAAACAAGCTTTTTCATCTGGCGCTCGGACTATTGCCCGGAGTTTCCCCTGGGCTTATAAGACGGTGGAGCTGGTCGAAGAATCGATCTTGGAACCGATTCCCGATTTCTGTTACGAAAAAAAAAGTTCCGATTCTTTTTTTTTTTTTTATTTAAACCAACGCAAACCAATTTCTTCCTTCCTTAATATCTACACCTAGACTTCTCGGACAAGGGCGAAAAATCTCAGAGGTCCCGTGTGCAAGTTGCGCACGTTAAAGATCCCTTGGTGGTCTAAAATCGATAAGAGTAGCCTTCGGCCGCCATCCAAGCAAAATTCAAAATTTCCTACCAACTGAAAATGTTTGGTGTGTCGCGCGCGCCCACATGACAGTATGCAGTTGCGAGAGCCAAAAAACACTTACCAACCCCCCCCCAAAAAAAACAAACAAAAACAAAACAAAAACAACAACCAACAACCTACAACAACAAACAAACAACAACAAAAAAACCCTCCTACCTGGACAGAATCTGAACAGAGACAGAGAAAGACGTGTGTCTGCAAGCAACACTGGAATACACCAGGACCTGGTGGCCAGTTTACAAAGAAGACGTCAAGCTAGCTCCAAGATTTCTCTTTCACTTTCGCGGAGAACCAAGTGTCTACGATGGAATACCTATCAAGAGAGACACGCGTGTGATCCCTCGGTCTATGCAGAAAGGTGTCAAAGACAAGATTCATGAGGGTCACATGGGCATAATTAAATGTAGAGATAGGGTTAACCAATCCGTATGGTGGCCTTACATCAGTTGGGACATTAAAGATAAAATCGCCAACTGTCGTTTCTGTCAGGAAAAACAGCCTACTCAACGTATTGTGCATGGTTGTGTTCAGTGGCGGCTCGTGGTTTATAGAACTGACCGGCGGTCATTCACATCGACTATTTTTCCCTCCCCCACCCCCTTACTTCACAACACACACACACACACACACACACACACACACACACACACACACACACACACACACACACACACACACACACACACACACACACACACACACACACACACACACACACACACATGCTCTCTCTCTCTCTCTCTCTCTCTCTCTCTCTCTCTCTCTCTCATTATTTTACACCCCTACTTTCGCCATCCCCACCCCCTCCCCCACCCACACATACACACCACAGTAAACATTGTAATATAATGTGAAAGATGAAATATGCGGTATCGTCAAGAAACAATATTATGAATAGTGTAAGATGGAAGTTACTGAGATTAATAGAAACTCACTTGATCGGCACAGAAAAACCCCCACACTACTTGAGTCTAAGCTAGAAAACAAACTGAAAGTGAGAAGCAATAAACCGCTGGTCCTGGCCTCCAGTACAGTACTTTGCTCGTACTTTCTACACCCCCACACAAAATATCGACATGCACTGGACCCGTTAAATATATGTAATAAGAACTGTCCTGTATGATGACAAAAAGTCAATTGCTACTGTACCAGTGACGCTGTCCCAAGCAGATCAAGTCTACAATCAGATGCTATACAAAGCTGGACAAAGCACACAAGTTTCCGATCATTATATCATCAAATGTACTTCATCGCACTTCTCAGTTCTCAGAACTGAACACTGAACACTGTGTTGTAACAAAGTGGGGAAGTGTGTCAAATGCTAATTATAGAACTTGGTGTCTAGCTGGGGTGAGGGTTGAAAAGGGGAGGGAAGGGAGGGGGTTTTCGGCCCAGACTCTGACAGCCGAGTGTCTATCGCTCCTCGTTAAAATTTTCCTTATATATCTTCACTAGACGATTCCTTCTTTCGCCGGCCAGACCCCTGAGGGCCAGGTAAGTTATTAATGGGGAGAAAACGATGAGTAAATGCCAAACAGGAACTATAGGTGGTTAAAAAGTCAATAAACAAAAAAGATTAGTGCCATGCTGACAATAAATGTTCTGATAGTAGTTAGAGAAAGGCTGAATGATAAATACATGTTTTGCTGATAAAATAATACATGTGTCTGTGCTGCTCAAGACAGTCTCATTCTTTAATTCTGTAAGCTACAAAGAGGCCAATCTGGCAATTAAGAGATATATACTAATCGCTATGTGGGCTGACGATGGATTTGTCCATGGGACTGACGTCATCGCTAGGCCTAAGCCAAGCCTGCCGTGTGTTTGGTCTCGTACGTAGTAGATCTACGAAGTTCCGTGACGTGACGGTTTGACGGGAGACGATTTAAAGTTACGAGCCGGCGCGATAACAAACGTAAAGGAATGAGGTTGTGTCGCGACAAAACAGCAGTGAATCCCACTTGTCTATTTGAGCGCCTTCAAATCGGCAAGGTGTTTTTGAATGTTGATAAATGTTTGTTTGGATTTACTTAAAACTGAATGAAAATCGTCATCAGCAATAAACCTCAAGTCAACAGTTTAGTTGACAAAAATCTGACCGGCACCGCCGGTCTTGCCCAGTTAACAAACCGCCCCTGATTGTGTTATGTGTTGTTTCCGATGATCACTATTTCTGTGATAGCTTATCATGTCCATAACCCCCCCCCCCCCCCCCCAACTGGAATGGCTTATTCCTTTGTTTCCATCTGATCACTGTTTATATAGCCTACCATTCTCTTGTTGCTATTCTGTTGGTGTCAGTCTTGACAGATGACCAAACCATTTTATTCTGTGTTTATCTATGTACTGAAAGCAGGGAGTCGAGCCAACTTAGTGTCTGACAAAAACAGATTTATTGAATCATACAAATCGACAAGAAGATAGAATACTAGATCTATCATGCAATTGTCGTTCACTTGCAGTGAAAGCTTTTTTTTTTTTTTAAAAGATGAATACAATTAAGGTTACCAAATTAACTGGTTATCCGATGCTGATATCATGTCCACTTTTTAATTTTAATTTTCTTTTTTTAAATTTCAAATTCAGAAATTATTATTACAAAACTATTTTAAAATTGCGAACAGATTGAGATATATGCTAGTGACAGCATAACCATACTGCTGGATACTGCTAGTTACTACAACCTGACTATTCGATTGTGAAGTATCAGAATCATTGACTGCAGTGTATGCTCTTCGCTGATGAGTTGATAATTATACGGATGATGCAGAATGACATTATCTCTAGATCTACCCCCAGTGGCGTTTGGTACTTCAATAGCTTTAGCTGTTGACCTTTATGCATTGCTACGAAAATGAATCCATTCATTGTTTTCGATTTCCTTGTGTTCCATTGGAATTGATTCCAGTTCGAGGAAGCAAGAACTGCCAAGCCAAAGCCAAACAAAGCATCAATCACAGCTGCACAGTTTAGTATTAGAAATTGATGTTGTAATATAATTGGAGTTCAGACCTCTCTGTTATCGCTGTTATAGTGATATCCTTAGTGCGTGTTTGTGGTACATGTTTTGCAGTTTTCTGTTTAATGATTGATGAGTCACTTTGTTGGAAGTAGATCTAGATATAGATCTCTACTCTAGATGTAGTTTCTGTCAAGATCTGGTTGGGTGCAACATGTAGATCTAGATTCTAGTGCAGAGAGCACCTACTAGCACACCTCTGTGATTGGCCCAAATATAGATGATGTACTTCCACCTTCTATTTTTGTCGTCTTCCGGGGTTTTCCCCATGACTCTTGGGTTTCCCTTGCCCGTTGACTAGATCTCACAGTGTTTGCTTTTTTTTGTATTATTATTGGCCGTCGTTATTCGGACTCGAGTCCGAATAACATTATTTCATATTCGGACTCGAGTCCGAATAAAAAAAATTATTATTCGGACTCGAGTCCGAATATGAAAAAATGTTATTCGGACTCAGGTCCGGAAAAAAGGAAGTGTCTTCGTTATCTACGTCAAGACTATCTTATTATTGTAATAATGATCAGTTGCCGGGGGGAAAAAGACTGACGCGTATGCGACGTTCAAAGCCCGGACCGATAGTGCCCCCCCCCCCCCCCAACCATCCTCCCCGACACGCACACAGCCACACGTGTGCAGGCCGCCCATCCGACCCCGACACACGCTAACGAGCCATCTTTAATTTCTTCTGATGACCTCTTGACAAATAAACATTTATTAGAAGAGCTATAACTTTTCAGGCGGGCCTCAAATTCATCATTTAAGATTAAAACTCGGCTCCTGCACAAAACGCCTTTTTGCCCGAAGTGATCCCGGTCTCTACCCAGCCTGAGGCGAGTCACGAGTGAGGCAGGACAGGAAGCCGGATTCACGAGTCACAGGAAGTCGGAAGTGATGTCATGCTGGACAAGAATCAGAGTCATAATAACATTTTTTCATATTCGGACTCGAGTCCGAATAATCACTTCGATTATTATTTGTGTTACATACATATATATCTTTTATAAACAATCTCAGCAATTCTCGTTCCGTAAAATTCTACACACACACAAGGACGTGGGCACACACGCACGCTCGCACACACACACATAAGCGCACGTGCGCACATGCACACACACACACACTCACACACAGCCCAAGCAGTTGGTGATGAAACCTAGTGACGTAGCCCATCGCGCGCTAAGCGTCAAAGCGGGTCCACCACGGTGAGATCTAGTCTACTGACGTGGGAATCCCCGGAAGATGACAAAAACAGATGGCAGAAATACATCATCTATATTTGGGCCAGTCACAGAGGTGGGCTAGGTGCTTGCTGTAGCTTCATGTGTTGGGTGCTGCTAAAATGCTTTTCTAAAAAAAGGGACACTACATTCAGTGATGTAGAATTCCATTCTGTGAAAGTAATGATGTTGTCAGCTAATGGGCTACATTCAATCCTTGTTGAGCAGTATGTTATTTACTCTGAGCAGAAAAATAGGCTGCAATCAGACTTATCTGATTATCTGACTTAATGGTGACAATATTTTGTTTTTGTACTGAATGGGAGTAACTTCGCACTTTGATTGTTTTCATATAACACAAGATCAGCCAATGGAAGTTATAATTTATATTACATACAAGACCCAATTCCATGAACCTTTCAATGTATTGCCTGTACACTTATTGAACACAAAATCTGTTTTTATATTTTAGGTAAACTGGATCAACAAAGAAACATTTGAAATAGGGTGGTGCGTGTGTAGTGTACAGTAAAACATCGCACCATGTCGTGGAAGATTGCAGGTTGCAGCATATTGCTGTTTGTACTGCAGCACATTGTACGAGTCATGTAAGTTGGAAGCTTCTTGTCTTTGTCTTGTTTGGTATACACTCTGCCTCTCATTCCTCTTTGTCTTGTTTTAGTAGGTGATTAATTGGTGTTCTGGTGTGGTTTGCGTCTTACTTCCTATCAAACATATATGTTCATGCTATCTCTCCTCCTTTTTTGTACGTATGTTACTCTCTTGTATCAATCTCTAATCTTCATCACCTAAATGACCTAACTGTGTTGCAAGTACAGTAAAACTTAAAACTTCTGCCAGTCAGTATCATTTTTACGTGAAAGTCCCCTTCTTTATCAATCACTGTTGTCTCAAATGCTTGTAGCAGATTAATTTTGACCAACAAGTAAATTTTCTTTTAATTTCATGATTCTGTAGAGCTTTTGGAAAGTCAAAAATAGAGATTTTGATAAGAAAATCACAAATAATATCATTTTAGATTCATTATCTTTAATGAAAGCCGTCTTTTTGTCAATCTTTACAAGCAGCAATGTTTTTGTTGTTAATGGTAAATGTGATACACATTTGTTTACCTACAGTGGAGTCCGCTAATCGAAATCTGGGGGACCACCAGATTATATTGGTGTGCTTTTGATCCAGGGAGATTGCTGAAACAAAACAATTATAACAATAGAAGGAAATTCTATTTTCTTTCAGTTTATCGCTGTTTTTGGATTACACTGTGTTCTGTTGAAGTGGAATCCACGGTAATCTAGTTTCGTTGTGTTGGTATTTTGTGGGGTTTGTTCTTAAAGTTCTTTGGATCAAACATTTCTGAAACTGCCCGTGTGATCATTTCAGCTACTCATTCGGCTACCACCTGCACTACTATCAACATTATCCAGGGCCCTGTCAGCAGGTGGAGGGGATTGGTAAGGACCTTACTGAACCTTACAGTAAATCAGCATGAATCACTTATCATTTAATGAGAACATTCTCTACTCTGTACTCGATTTAAAAGTTGTTGATGTTATAAACATGTTATAATAGACTGCATATATATATAGCTGTAATTGTCTTTTGAAAATATTATGTACTGCATGTGTTTTTTTTATGTTGACAATGCAGGCAAAGCATAAAAGCTTTGATCTCTATTTTTTTGTGGTTAATATCTATTTTTATAAAAATTATTTGTATGTCAGGGGTGGGAGGAATTTAACTATAATTATTGTGTGTGTATCTGTTTGCACCTATATATAATATATATGTTAGTGTGTGTGTGTGTGTGTGTGTATGAGTGAGAGATTTTGTTGACAAAGTGCATGTGTGTGTGTTGTGTTGAAGAGTGCCTGTGTTTGTCTTTGTTTTGACCATGCTGCAACGAATTTCTCTTTGTAGAGATCATTAAATTGTTATTTTTATCTTATTTCATAGTTAAGAGTTGTTTTTATGGCTCCTTACATTTCTTTCCCCATTCACATATTTTATTCTTTAGATTTGGGCTCGGCAAGTTTATATACTCTTCCAGATGGGCTCACGCTGATTACTTCGGTGAGTTGTCAACATGAAGAGTGCTGACAAAATGAGTTACTTCTCGGATTCGGGCATTCTTGAACACGCGTCATTTTGTGGGGTTTTCAATGCTCTCAACCCATTAAAATTTGGTTTAGAAGTCCCATGAGAGAAAGTAGTGAAATTCAGATATTCATATACCTCTTTAATATGCTTCTAGTGTTAATAAACCAAAAATGACAAGTTTTTACAAATTACAAGTATGAAATGATAAAGGACATGTTATACTTAAAGAACATCGCATCAATAGTAGAAAATCTACATTTTTTACGTCAGTATTGATTTTTTGGCCAATACAGTAGAACACGGCTATAACGTGACCTTTAGTTCCGTACTTGTTTGTTTGCTCTTGTCTTTGTAAAATCCACTTTCAGCTTTTGATCTGTTGAAATACTGAATACTTCAGAGAGACATCATTGTATAGTACTCGTCAAAATAGTGAAATCAAAGAAACCTGCATTTTTCCCACCCACTAGCAATTTTAATGTTTCTTTGTTTATTTTTTTTTTTTCTGCTTAACACATTTTATTCGCCCAAAAATTGCTGAGCTCCTGATTCCACTGCGTCGTGACATAATTGTAATATTTGTCATGACGCTGCGGAATCAGATGATGATCTTAAATTTTTTCTGGCATATGGTTGTTTTTTTTGGTGTAAAATCTTAAAGCCTGTTCTTTCGCCTTCCATTAAGAGTTAACATTGGACTCGTGTCTTACCTCACATAGGGTTACCTTTAATTCCTGTTGGGCTTGTGTCCCATGGGTGCTTTATAGGTCAGTAGACATCATGTTGGAGTATGGAGGAGGGGATGGCCCTGGTTTGAATCCCAGAATGGGCATTCTTGAACTCGCTTCATTTTGTGGGGTTTTCAAGACTCTCAACACATTACAATTTGGTTTAGTAGTCCTATGAGAGAAAGTAGTGAAATTCAGATATCATACTTCTTCAATAAATAATATCTCTGTTGGTGGAAATTGATAAATTCACCCTTATGTGAGAGGTCCAACTCATGAAAATGAAGATGAATTTCACTTTATTTTCTATTGTCCATATTTTGTCCATCAAAAGAAATTGTTAATTCCTCCCAGCCTGATTAGACCCTGTGACAGATGTATGCTATGTTTGACCCATGATAAGAGATATATGTTGACAATCTGTATTTTTACATAATGGAAACTTTATTTTAACAAATAGTTGTTTTATATAATGTGATGTGGGCCAATGGCCTTAACTCTTTATCTCCGGCAAGCAGTTCCCAGCGGCTCGCAGTCGGTACCTCTGTGCTGGTGAGCTGCTGACAGCGGCCCAGGCACGCTCCTTTACAACCATTTCGACATCAAATTACTTTTCGCCCATTGTCGAAAACAGATCTCTTTTATACCCCCCCGGGGCAGTGCCACGGACTGTAGTGTCTTTAGGCCATTTCCAAAGGGGGGACATTTCTCGTTCAAGATTAGTAGAATTGTAAATGGGTTGACTCATGTCACGCTCATAACTGTGCCTGATCTACTACAGGGAACTGTTGGTTTTTCTTTCCTGATCCTTACTATTGTCATTTTCCTCTACTTCTTTTGTATGTTTGTCACTCTCTTGTGACCTGCTATTTCCGGGGTGCCTTGATAGTCGAAGCAGACCTTGTGCTGTTGAAGCTAGAGAGGTGAGCTAGAGAAGTCTGATTCCCTGTAAAGACTTCTCTGTTGACACCCACCCCTTGACGTTCATATGACCTTATGCAGTTGCAAGCGCCGTAAAACCGTCTACTATAAAGAAGTAAAAAGATCTCTTTTATCAGGAGTTCATCCATTAGATGAAGAACTATCAAAATAGAATCACTTGTTTTGATTTAATGACCCATTTAGTTACGTTTTTGTCATGTTTAGATTTAGTACCAGGGGCCCGGCATAAAGGGTTTACCCCCCATGGAGATAAAGAGTTAAACACTGAATAAACTTACTTACTAAAGTGTTGATACAGACGTTAAACCCGTACACTTACTTTACTTGTTTGCATCCCGTGCCTCAGGGTTTCAGCATGAACCTGCTTTCCCCGAGCTACCAGGCTTTCTACGAGGAGAAGGGAGCTCGTGGCGGCGTGTACATGATGGATCTGAAGAACGCCAGCGGGGAACTAGCGCCCGTCCCTCTGTCTGTCGTCGCAGAGCACAGCGGGTTCAACCCGCAGTCTTTCCGTCCTCACGGGATTAGTGTGTGGCATGACCATGACAGTGGTGAGTGTGTGTGTTTGTTTTTGTGTGTTTGTGTAGGTGGGGCGGGAGGGGAGTGTTATTGTTTGTGTGTGTGGACATGTATAAAGAGGATCCAGGTTTTCTTGAACAGGTGTCTAAGAAAGTTACTGAGGATCAGATGGACAGACAGGGTCACCAATGTGGAAGTGTTAAGGAAAACAAGACAGATCCCAGTCAGAGATGAGGTAGGAAGAAGGCGGTGGCAATGGATTGGACATACTCTCAGGAAGTCAGGCAGCTGCATAACAAAGAAAGTTTTGGATTGGAACCCACAGGGCAAGAGATCAAGGGGAAGACCTCGTGGAACTTGGAGAAGAATCACAGAAATCGATGTACAGAAAAGTGGGAAGACATGGAATAACATCAAGAGGCTAGCCCAGGATAGAGAAAAGTGGGGGGTGTTTGTCCGTGGCCTATACCCTGGTGCAGGGTGAAAAAGGCAATGATGATGATGATGTGGACATGTTTGTGTGTGTTTGTGTACGTTTGGGTGTGTATGTGTGTGTGTGTATGTGTGAGTGTATGTGTTTGTGTTATATACCGTAAAATGTCATGGAGGCGAATGGTACAAGCAGAAATAGAAATGCCTTTGACCTCATGGAAACAGCTAGAAAAGGATGCACAGGACAGGCATTGCTGGAGAAATATTGTTGATGGCCTATGCTCCACTGGGAGTTAAAAAAGGGCCAAAGAGAGAGAGAGATAACGTACTCGGCTTGAATGTTCAATTTCGGAAGTCTGCTATCTAATTTAGTTATATTACCTCTTCAAAAGCTATATCTAAACCGTTCATGTATTTTAAGAAAGTACTTTCCACTATAAGTTCACTTTTCTGACGATTTTATACAGTGATTTAAAGTCAGTTTGCAATGTACGTTGTGAGAATAAAGAAGAATGATGAATAGTGATAGATTTACCATACCCCACACGGCTGTTAGGAAGCGGTACTTTAGTTCGCAGGCAGCCAGCGCGCCGCATCTTGTAATCTGACCCCGGTCACCGGGTCATGAACTCGTAGCCAGGGGAATCCCCGAGCCCCGCTGACAGTGTTGTTCTTTTCATTTTTAGGAGAATTAAACTCGCAAAATACGCCGATCGGTGACTTTGCCGTCTTTTTATTTTGTCCGTTTGGAACAAGAGGGAACTTCTACACTCACTGAGAAAGATGCAAAATTGTAGGAAATAACGATAGATATATACAGCGTTCCTAAAATGGCTCATATTTTAACATTGCCCTTGGGGGGTGTATATTTTAAAATCAAAATTTCAATCAAACAAAACTGAAACAATACTTCAAATTCACATAAAATGCATCAGAAAGGGTCAAATATCAAAACTCACTTTGCTGTTCTTTTGGGAAGGCCACGGTCTTGGAGTGGTGAAGGGTTGATTACACTGTCACCTTTTTTTTCTTTGTCGGAGGCACGTTTGACAAAAGTTCGGGGTTTAACATCAGGTGCTGAGATTGCATGATAACTTTTAGCTGTTGTTCGGTATTACGTATCCCAGCTCCTCTTCTCTCCAGCTTTGCCACAGAAGCATGGATAAGTTCACCACCCTGTTCCCAATGTAAAGCTAGACCAAACCCATATGTTTGTATCCACGGGATGCAGTGGTTTTCTAGAATGTGGTGTTTGGGAAGTACCTTTTCACTAAAGTGTCTCCTGTAGAATGACATGTGAGTTTTGATGCATGTTTCAATGTGTGGTAGTCTGTCTTTTGACACTGGTTGGCCGTGTGAGATGTGGATGTGAACGTCCCTAAATGCGTTGTTTAACTGATTGAATTTTTCTCTGAGAGTGTAAGCGGTGTCAATTATGTTTTGGTTGTGGGTGTTTTCTAATGTTTCTTTTACAATGAATGCTGTGAGGTCTTTATAAACACGACTCATAATGTATTTGTGGCAGTAATTCCCAATGAAAGAGCGGCTATTAAGTATTATATGCCTGCTGTGTGATGTTGTGTGAGTCAAGTATGGCATCTAAATGAGAACAGATAGGGCCAGTCCTAGGGCTAAGGGGTTCGTGCTCTAACTCAGACAACTCGTCTTCTTTCCCTGTCAGTTGTTTTTGAAAGTTAGCTCTCTCCTCTTCAGAGTCAGAAAGCACTACGCAACCTTCTAATTGCCTAATCTCCCCATTTAGTTCCTCCCACGACTCCAGTTGTTTTTTCCTCCATATTATGTGCGTAGTGACGACGAAACCCCTTTAAAGTCTTCCTCTGATTGCTCACTTAGCTGTATGTCTATTGTGTGTGTCGCTGTCTCCAGCAAAGGATGGTGGTTCAGAACTATACCCAAAAGGATATGAAGGTATGGTGGGGCTACTTTAACGGGTTCAATGTTTATTAGTGGGAGGTGTAAACTATTGTGAAAACTAGAGACATTTTTCTTTAGGCCATGGCCATATTTTTTTAAACGATTGTGATCGCGTTTCAAAGTTTCCAAAGAACGAGGCAGGAAATATTGTTGTTGACGTGGGGTTTATGCTAACACCAAAGGCCAAGAGAATGTCCGACGCAAACATAGAACACTGCAGGGGTCGCCTTTTCTGTGCCTTCTGCTTGACTGACAGTGTTCTGCCACCACAAGTTCTGCAAAGTTCGTGTAGCTTTTGAAAATGTGAATCCTCTGTATGTTTCTCCATTTCTTAACTGGGCTAAAATATTCCAAAAATTCGATAAGAAAAATGTTGAAAAAATAACGCGATAAATAAGAACAGAAATGAAAGATCACAATCCGAGTGAATCACGGGGGAGGGGGTACCTTTTAAAAAAAATCATATAAAATCACACATTCATTTCCCAGAAATAGAACTTGCTCACACAGTTCAAGTATTGCTGTCTCAAGTGAAGCACAGAAATCTGAGTGAAAATTTGAGTTTGTCTTTTGAGATAATAAACTCCAAAATGGAATATAATTCAAAATGCATCTTTAGTTGAACAAAACGCTTGTCCTGCAAAGCGCTTAAATGCTATAACACCAGTGAGATTTCCGGAGCGAAAGTGGGATCGTCTTGTTAGTCTTAAGACTATCTTTAAAATGAGATTTTAAACAAGCTTCTAGGTTTATCAGATCGGGAGAAATAACGAGGGAAAGTGATACGAAAATTACCAGAATCGAGTTACGCAGGCACGGCGGCGGACATCGCTATCGTCACGGTTGTTAAGCACGAGGGTGGCCAACTGACACTGATTTATTACCTTCGCGCGGGAGGTCAGACCGGGGTTCGGCCACCAGCTAAAGTACCACTTTCAGTGGGGTTTTAACAGCCGTGCCCAGAATGCAACATTATCAGCTACAGTGAGAGGGCAAGTTTTTCTCAAGTACTTGTAAAAATGTCAATTTTGCGGTCAGTGGGTGAAAGAGATAGATTTTAGTCAAAACCCAATGAATTGTCTGTGTGTTACTACTTATATTTGTAACCTAACATTGACAACACACTCTACGGAACTTTACAGCAACTGCAGCAAACCTGATCGTATCACTACATAGCTTTGGACAGAAGGGCAAGAGCCCAGCTGTTGTTGGGTCGAAAACAACAACAACAACAATATATCTTTGTAAAGCACTCAGAGCCTGTGTTCTTCAATCGGGGTACAGCGCTAATGTCGTATACATGTATTATTGTTTTTTGTTGAATGGTTTCTTGAGAAAATGATAAATCAATCTTCTGCCATTCTTCTACAAATATTGCTTTTTAGTTGTTGGTTTTTTTGTGTGTTTTTCTTTAAACATCTGTCGAAGTTGGAGATCCTGTAATAGCCTACAACAGAGGTTCCAGATACGATTCTGTCAGGCAGCTACATTGTGTTTGTGGTGAACCAGTTAGTCGACAGGGGTTCTAGAAATGATTCTGTGTGGGTGTTTTACGGGTGCTCTGGTGCGGTTTGCTCCTTCTTTCCTATCAAACATCTGTCGTCCTGATCTCTTCTTCGTTGGTGGTTGGCGGGTGCCCTGGTGTGGTTTGCTTCGTCTTTCCTATCAAACATCTATCGTCTTTATCTCCCCTTCTTCTTTTTTATGTTTGTTTCTCTCTTGTAACACCTCTAATCCTCTGGCGCTCATATGACCTTATGCAGTTGCGAGCGCTGTAAAACCTCTACTAAAACTAAAAAACTGATCTCTCCTTCTTTTTTGTGTTTGTTACTCTCTTGTAACATCTCTGATCTTTGACTTTTATATGACCTTATTGTGCTGCAAGTGCCGTAAAATTCTTTCTAAAACAAACTGTTCTGTCTGTCTTTTCAGGCCGCTACATCGTGTTTGTGGTGAACCACCCCGTGAGGGAAGTGGACAGAGTGGAAAAGTTTGTCCTGGACCGAGGCAACGGCACCCTCCTCCATGTGAAGACGTACACCAGCCCCAAACTGAGGAGGTAGGAGTGTGGTCATTACTTTAACCCTTTGAGGCATGACTCTGCTGACCTGAGAATACCCCCTGCCCAGCCATTCTAAGGAAATTTCACATGGGTCACAACAATTTATAGACCAGACAACAAATACGTCACGCACAATATCAAAATATCCACACAGAAACTAATCAGAGTTGCCTTCCTCACATCTAGAGCTAGTAGTTTTTTTGCACATACGTTTAAGCCTAGTAGGGCCTGGCTCAGACTAACTTGGATCAGGCTACGCATCGATAAAGTTCCGGACGGGTCAGAGGGTTTTTCAGGCTCTAAGGGTTAAAAGTATGTGTCAGGACGTGAAGGAATCAGGCGCTCGTCAATTTTTGTGCATGTGGAGTTATTGGTATCATCTTGAAGCTGGTTCATTTATCTTGCTTTTGATGAAAAAAATACCCATATATATATATACTTAAGCAGAAGTGAAGATATTTCAATTTGTGATTGAAAGGTAAGTTCACTTGGTTTCAGCGGTAAAAATAGCGAGAAAATGGCCTCCAAAGTTTGGTAACTTTAATAGCTAAAGAGTCCTTGAAAACTGAAAAATTACATATTTTCAGCTTTTAATGGTTTTTCAATTTAATTCACATGGAAATGTGTTTTTATTTGGACATAAAAGGGTTGAACAAAAAACCAAAAATTTTATGAAAATTGCGAAACTGGTGGGAAAATGCCTGTTTCTCCAACTTTTTTATTTTGACGAGCACCTGATTTCACCACGATGCCTCACATTTGCTCTATAGGTGGATTGTACATGAAGTAAAGGAGGCGGGGGGGGGGGGGGGGGGAGTGAAATAGTTGTTGGGGTTGTTAGAGGGTGTGGTGCACTGTTGCTCTGTACCTGCCTGAGATGGGCTGCAGCCAGTGGTGGAAGATGGAAAGGATTATGAAGCATACTACCATCTTTACTTTACTTTTACTTACTTTTCTTGTACTTTTTTCTTCCGCTTGTACTGGTGGGTGTTGCGGGGAGATACAGTGGTCTGTCTGAAGCAAAGCGAGTGGCCTGTAGGAGGGACCTCCTGTGAGCTACCATCATCAGCTAAAAACTTACAGATTTTTTCATCATGTTTTTTATTGATATGACAGATATGTCCTTAACTTGAAACAATTGTCACCTGTCACCATGGTTGTGTTTGTCCATTGGTGTTGGCCAAAGGGCTAGAACTCGGACGGGGGCTCTCATGGCCTAGAGGTTAAGGTGTTCGCCTCTCATTCAAGGTCCCGAATTAGAATCCGTGTAGCAACGGAAACGTTTTCTTCTCTAAATGTGTCTCCTTTCACCTCCTTTCCATGGTCTATAGCAATGTTCTGTCGTCTGCTTTCATCTCCACTTTCTGCTCCCACCCCCTCACCTCCTTTTCCCTCTCCTCTGGGCTTCTGACTCTTTCTGCAGCCTTTCAACTGCTTCTGCCTGGCCTCTTCTTACTGCTGTCTTTCAGCCATTCCCCTAATCTTGTGGTAGGAAAGATCTGCACCAAAACCTTCTCGGACAAGGGTGAAAAATCTCAGAAGGCCCGTGTGCAAGTTGCGACAGTGAAAGATCCCATGGTGGTCTAAAAAAGGGTGAGGGTTAGGGTTAGGGTTAGGTCTCTTCTTTATTGTGTTTGTTGGGCTGGTCGCTCTTTACGGAAGTTCTTCCCAAATTTGTACTAAATGACCAGAATACTCTTCTTAGTACAGTAGAGAAACATGTGTTTGTGAAGGACATCACTCATTTAACCCTATCCCTACGTCGTGTTTTACTATAGTATCCATACGACGTGGGGAACTCTGTACCACCACTTCCAAAGAGGAAATTTACTTGTTAATCTGATCCGTACAACCCTCCCTCCTCCCCCTCTCCTCCCCTCCCTCCCTCCCTCCCCCCCCCCCACCCCCAGCCTGTACGACGTCCAGGCGGTGGGTGAGGACTCCTTCTACGTGAGCAACGTCCTGTACGAGCAGCGCTCCCGTTTCTTCATGCTGCTCGAGCTCTTCTCTCTCATGCCCTGGTCCTCCGTTGTGCTGTACCAGCCCGAGACAGGGTACAGTCAGGTGGTCAGCGGACTGACCAGTGCTACAGGACTATTGGTGTCTCCCTGTGGCTTGTGAGTGGAGGGTGGGTGAAAGGGAGGGGGGCAGGCGATTAGTATTGAGTGCTGATGTCACTGTATTGTTTGGGAAGGGAAGGGGGGAGGGGCTGACCAGTGTGGCTCGTTAGCGTGGTTGGGGGGGAGGGGGGAGGGAAACGAGGTGAAATTGACAAAGCTCATGGAAAATGATTACCAGTAGGTTTATAAAGAATTATTCAACCATCAGTTGTTATTTAAAAATAAATTTTAAGCAAGTGATTTTTTTGAAAAGATAGAAATTGCTTAACAACAAGATGTATTTTAATGTTCTTCCCTTTCAGAGATCTCTACAGTAGCAAAATTCCTTCATAATGTAAGCCATAATGGCACTGTATACCTTAGACTTTGGTCTTCCGTTTAGCTTTCTCCACCCTTGGAAAAAAAAAGTTGCAGAATGTCATTGTTAATTTTTCCTGTCTCAAATTATATAATAAAACTTTGCTTCCTATTGTAAAATAGCTAGGAACAGACTAGGAAGCAAAAAGTTAATGTATTGTGTTTTGTGTTAGTGAGAGTCCCTTAAACACTTGTGCCATTTTGAAGCTTGATTTATTTCCTTTGGATCTCCATAACACTTTTAATGGTCTTTAAGAACTCAAAGTGCTAAAATGCGGTAGCAAGCAAGGTCTGTTGCTTCTCTTTCTCCTTGAGTGTTAAAGGTTGTCATGAGTTCGTGATGGATGAACTATTTATTTATTACTTTTATTTATTTCATTACTTCTACTGCATGGACTTTATCAATCTGTGCCTTTTCATACCAGTTGAAATCACATAGACATTGTTAGATGTGAGAATTTTTATTATAACCTCATCTATAAGATGTTACTTGATCCAAAGATAAATGCTGCTGTACTAATGTAAACATTTAGTTATTAAAAGACGAAAATGAAAATAACTCAAATTTTATGCGAAGGTTTATACTTTCTTCTTTTTTCTTCTTCTCGATCTCATTACACTTGAAGTCCGGTATCTTTGTCACGCAGTCCGTATTACACTTTAACAGTCTTTACGAACAAAAAAATGTTGAAATGTGGTAGCTAGCAAGGATTATAACAACTTTTCTTCCTCCTTGGATTTTTTTTCTTTCTTCTTCTCGATCACATCATAACTTAAAGTTCAATATCTGTGTCTGTAAAGTCTTTAGGAACACAAAAGTGTTGAAATGTGGTAGCAAGCAAGATCTATAACTTCTCTTCCTCCTTGAATTTTTTTTTCTTTCTTCTTTGCCATTGCATCACACTTAAAGTCCAGCATCGTATCATATGTGAGGCATCGTGGTGAAATCTGGCGCTCGTCAATCTCATGAAATCGAAAATATTGGCATTTTCCCGCCGGTTTGACCACTTTTTTCTAATTTTTGTTTTTTGGCTCAACGCCTTTCTTGTCCATTTAGATAGATATTTTTTTGTGGATTTCACTGAAAAAACATTAACTAAATGCTCAACAAATGTAAATTTTCACTTTCCAAGATTCCTAAGCTTTGGAAATCAACAAGCTTTGGCCACCATTTTCTTGCTAATTTTGAACCAGGCGTCCACGAACACTTTCAATCGCAAATATCTCAACTTCTATTTAAGATAGATGTGTATTATTTACATAGAAACAAAGTCAGATGAACAATCTTTAATATAATACCAAAAACTTGGGATGCCCAAAAATTGACGAGCTGTCCTGCTCAGTCCTTCTGTTAGCCCGTACTTTGCCATAGTTTCTCCTGCACTGCCAGTTTGGCTAACCTTTATACTTGTGGTCTGAACGAGTTGGCGTGTGACAGTTGTTGTTGTGTTACTTTCAGGTTTGTGTACGTGCTCTCGTGTATGGGGGCGGAGATCCGCGTCTATCGTAGACAGGAGGACAACTCTCTTCTGCTTCAACAGGTACTGAGCGGAGTTACGTTTTAGCAAAAATAGATATTTCTCCTAACTTTGGTCGATGTTGGTGCTCACTTCTGATGCAGTAAAACATCGTTTTTCTTTTTTCAACAGGATTTTGGAAGAAAATATGTTTAATTTATTGGTAAGAAAAAAAGCATACATATACACTGTAGACGTATCACGTGTGTGTGTGTGTGTGTGTGTGTATGTATGTGTGTGTGTGTGTGTGTGTGTGTGTGTGTGTGTGTGTGTGTGTGTGTGTGTGTGTGTTGAAACACCAAACCAACGTTTCAATGTCTGAACAACAAAGATTCATCTCATCTTATTTTGAATTATATGATCTTATCATATCTTTCCGTATTCCACTTTACATTACCATTCCTTACCTTACCTTATTTCACTTCACCACACCCCTCCCCACCCCACCTTCCCACTCCACCCTCACCCTACCTCCCCTCACCCACCCCACCACACCCACTTCACCCACCTCACTGCTCCTCGCCCCACCCCCGTGGGTGGTTGACGGGTGCTCTGGTGTGGTTTGCTTCTTCATTCCTATCAAACATCTATCGGCTTTATCTCTTTGTTACTCTCTTGTAACACCTCCTCTCTTCTGCACTTATATGACCTTATTGTTTTGCAAGTTCCGTAAAACATTTACTAAAACTAAA